GATAGCCGAGGTCGCAATAGTAAGGCGACATCCCCGTGGCTGGCGAGACGGCGTGGTTGTAGGCTATCTCCGTGTGGGCAAGATGGAGATCCCACTGCTGGTCGTCACGAACAATCTTTCGGAGAATATCTCTGAGAGTCTTGTTCGTGATCTCGGTCTGACCATCAGTCTGAGGATGGTAAGACGAGGAGAAGCGGAGCTGAGTGCCGTACACCTCGTGGAGCCATCGCCAGAATCGGCTGGTAAAGCGTGGGTCACGGTCAGATATGATGCTCAAAGGTAAGCCGTGGTCACGCATGACTCGGTCAAACACGATGTCGGCGACCTCAAGTGCACTGATGGCATAGCGGCACGGAACAAAGCGTGCACGCTTCGTGAAGCGGTCGACGGCGACTAGGATAGCATCATGACCGCGAGGGGTCGGAGGACGAAGGGGACCGATAAAGTCCATCGAGATGGACTGCCAACGACCCTCAGGGATAGGAAGAGGCTGGATCAAACCATAAGGCAAGTGGTTCGCACTGTTCACCTCCTGACAGGTGGGACACTCTGCGACGTAGTCCTTCACAAAGTCCTTGCGCTTCGGCAAGACGTACAGGCGGCTCACACGAACCAACGTCTTGTGGAAGCCCATATGACCGGCAGCTGCCTGGTCATGGAACTCGGCTACTGCTCAGACACGTTGCTGTCCAGTGCCAGTGGAGGGAACGCAAATACGGGGCTCTCTGGTGCCCTGTGAACCGTGCCAGTACACAAGACCGGATTCCCCAAGAGAGTAGTTCGGGACGGTCTTGTCGCTCCGAAGGGTTGCGTGGATGTCACGATAGTCGGGGCAGTGGCGGTACTGAGTGTGAAACTCGTCGATCACCGAGTGGTGGACAACGGTGACCGAGATGGAAGAGAGCTAAATGTGCTCCAGGTCGTGGTCAGGGCGCCGGGATAAGGCATCTGCGACCCGATTAGTCTCACCATTGACGAGCTCAGTGGTGAAACTAAACTCGGATAGGTCGCGCCACCAGCAAACCTGTCGAGGAGTGAGCTTCAACTTTGTAAGAAAAGTCTGGACAACATAGTTGTCCGTGCGCACCGTGAATGGTGCCCCGTGCAGGTAGTGACGCCAGTGCCGAGCGGCATAAACTACTGCAAGAACCTCACGTTCATCAGCAGTGTAGTTTATCTCGACGGGCAGGAGCTGATGGGAGTAGAAGGTTATCGGACAATCACCTGAGCGACACTCGACAGTGCCGTTCTCGGCGATGGTAAGAGAATAGTCGATAGAGGGCTCGTCAGTAGCTGGACGAGTAGGCGTCAGTCGGGAAGCAGTGGTAGGGGTAGGTGGTGGGAAGCGAGGGATACGAGGATGAGAGGAATCAGGAGAGGGGGGGAAGACCTGAGAAAGCACTGCTCCTACAGCAAAGTCTGATGCATCGGTGGTAAGGATAAAAGGGCGATCAAAATCGGGTAGGTGAAGTACCGATGCGCATGTCACCGCCTTCTTGAGGGCGCGGAAAGCGTCCTCGTGGAGGGGTGTCCAAGCCCAGGGTGGGTTCTTCCGGAGGAGGGTGGAGGTAAGGACGTAGGAATACCTAGTGTATCCCCGGATGAAGTTACTATAGTAGCTGGTCAGGCCTAGGAAGCTGCGAAGCTGCTTGGCGGATGTGGAGGCGGGCCACTCCGCAATAGAAGTGATCTTCGCGTCGTCCATGTGGAGACCCTGGTCAGACACGTAGTGTCCTAAAAAAATCCACTTTGTGCTGGGCAAAGCGGCACTTGCTCAGCTTGGCGTAGAAACCATGTCTGCGCAAGCGGTCAAGGACGTCGCGGAGGTGTCTGAGGTGCTCCTCAAGGGTACGACTGTAGACCAGGATATCGTCGAGGTAAACGAGAACGTACTGCTCCAGGATGTCCCTGAAGATGTCGTTCATCGCCCTCTGAAAGGTGGCGGGTGCATTGGTGAGGCCGAATGGCATCACCGTGAACTCGTAGTGGCCGAATCGCGATCGAAACGCGGTCTTCGGCTGGTCGTCTGCAGCAACGCGGATCTGATGGTAACCGCTACGAAGATCAATCTTCGTAAAGAAGTGGTTGCCTGCTAGGCGATCAAACAGCTCATCGGAACGAGGCATGGGGTAGCTGTTCTTAACCGTGTAGCGGTTGAGACCGCGATAGTCGATGCAGAGACGGAGAGTTCCATCCGCTTTGCGAGCAAACAGGACGGGTGCACCCCACGGGGAGTTGCTGGGTTTAATGAAACCCAGTCTCAGGAGCTCCTCAAGCTGACGCTTGAGTTCGGTGGCCTCGGGGATCGAGAGTCTGTAGGGTGCCTGGTGGTGAACACAATAGTCAGGCACAAGCTGAATGGAGTGCTCGATGTCACGCATCGGTGGGATGCTGACGTACAAGAACGACGATGGGAAAACGTCGTGGTACTCTCGGATGAGGTCACGAACTGCGGGCTCCAGGTCAGCCGTATATCGTGCGAGTTCCTCAGCGTCAGCGTCAGCGTGCCACGGCGGAGTGGACTTGACGAACGGCGGAGGGACGGAAGTAGAGATGGGAGCCATGGAGATAGAGGGAGGATTTGGCTCCAGAGGGATGAGCTCGGCGTCGGGACAGGGTGGATCATAGTGAAAGAGATCCGTCACGTCCACCATAAAGAAGGTGACGTCGTCCTGTCGAATGAAGTGAGCGAATTGTCGAGGCGAGGTAACAGTGATAGAGGGAGATGGTGTGGGAACTGAAGGCTCCGGGGGAGGAGGATCGAGGCATGGTGTCGCAGTGGTACCTATGAAAGGTACGCGATACGTCTGTCCACACTTTGTTTTGAGAACGAGAGTGTTGGTTGCCCAATCGGCCTTGGTGCTGCGGAACCGACGAGACCACGGAGTGTCGAGAATGAAGTCGTACCCCGTCTCCATCACATCGAAATGTGCAGAGGAGCGGTGGCGACGAGACGCCGGGTCTGATCGAAGAAGCGTTGGGTCTTGTCATCCCCTAGGGTAACGAAGATGGGAGTCGTAGACCCTGTCGTGGGTAAGCGGACTTCCTTCACCACGCGTGGGTGAATGAAGTCGCCCTGAGAACCGGAATCCCACAGCGCTAAGTACACCCTTGTGGAGGTCCCGAGTCGTACAGGGATGATCGGGAGGGTGCGATCAGGGTCAGAGAGGATGGCGAGAAGGCGGCGCAGTGCAGGGACATGGAGGGTGAGTCGTTCCTGACGAGCCTGAAGCATGCTCAAGTCCAAAAGAGAGGACACAACGTCCTCGCGAGTAGCAAGCTGCTCACTGCAACGGGCTGAGCGAATGGCTCGACGCGTCGGTAGTCGCGGCGGGGAAGGAGGGGAGACGGTGGTCTGCGGAGGCGCAGACGGTACTGCGACAGAGGGGCTGAGCACACTCTGTCGAGTCCTGCGATGCCTCAACTCCAGTAGCGAGAGGGGCGAACCGCGACGGAGATGTCGGAAAACCCACTATTGAGGAGGGCGCAGGTGTACACTGCACCGTGGCTAGGAGGCCCCGCTGAGACGTGAGGCGCCGGGGGGGGACTGAGCACGACTTTGACGAGAAAGGTCAGCGTAGTGGCGGTCGAGGGCGGTAGTGTAAGGGCACCGCGAGGAGGTATGACCGTCCAAGCGGTGGCGCAAACACCCACGTCTGCCCAGAATAGTCGCGCGCTCCTCAGCGGAAAGGACACCGCGAGGAGGGACGAAGCCCTGAGGGAGGTCCTCCTTAGGGACCTCGGGGGGCGACGCGCCAGCGTGACCGGGGCGGCTGCGTGCCCGAGAGAGGGCGGAGAGCGCGAGTTGAAGGCGCTCAGCTGCAGGGAGGGTAGAGTCCTCGAAGTGATAGTGGACGGCCTCGCAGAGATCGAGGTCGTCGTTGTGGTCGCCCTCAGGTAACAGTGGGGCAACAACGTCCTGCTCACCATACTCTAGTACGCTGAAGCGGCGCGAGAAGTGGCGGCCCTGCTGCGTGGAACGGCGGGGGCGACCGCGGAAAGGGGAACGGCGCTGGGAAGTGTCGTGGGAGGAGGAGGAGGCGTAGCCCGTGCGCCGGGGCTGGGAGGAGGAGGCGGGGTGAAGACGGGCTCGCATCCGCTGGTGGTCCCTTGCGGCCTCGTAAGCCTGTGGGGCCGATGTGAACTCGTACCGCCATAGCTCCGAGCGGTACTCGAGCGGAAGGCTGGCCAAGAAACGATCGATAAGGGCAACCTCGGGGAGGAACGCCACGTTGCAAACGAGGCGGGCGTCCTTAAAGACCTGGATGTGGCGATCCAGGCCGGCAGCGCCACCAGAGTCGGACCAGCGTGTAGTGGTGACACGCACGAAGTCGTAAGTCACGTCGTATCGGGCTCCGAAGCGATCCTCAAGGAACGCCTGGAAATCCACGAAGGTCGGAGTCCGACCCTAACGAAGGGAGTAGGCATAGAAATCCTCCCAGGCCTCGAAAGGACCGCCACGCAGGCGCGTGGAGAGGTGACCCACCCACGTCTCGGGTGTGGCGCCCATGAGCTGGAGTGTGCGGGTGGCAGACTGCAGCCACCGAGACACGTGTATGCCTGTACCGTCATACAAGGCAATGTCCGACAAGCCGATGAGTGGTGCGCCACCGTTTTGGCGGCGAGGGGATCGAGGAGTGGAGGCCTGTGCCACGGCTGAGTAAGTCGGCGCAGGTCTTGGAAAAAGGGGCGCAGCTGACTGTGCGCCCGGGCCGCATGGGGGAGTGGCGGTGACAACAGCGGCAGGTTGCGGGGGTGTTGAGGAAGAAGAGGTCGCAGCAACCGCGGGAGTAGGAAGAAGGTAGGAAGGAGTTGTATAGGGTGCAGGGCGCGAAAGCCTGCATGGGAGAAAGGGTAGAGGAGGTAGGGGGTGTGCCCGAAGGCGCGGCCACCTGTGAGGGTGGGGGTGGCTGAAGGCGTAAGAGGGCGAGGTCATCCCGGAGTTGGGCAATCTCGTCTGCGAGACCTCGAATGTAGGTCGATCGAGGGGTAGCAGGAGGAAGAGTGGAAGGGGTGGACGCACAAGCGGCGCGGGGTATCCCAGAGGGGGGAGAGTCAGGTGGCGCTGCGATCGTGCGAAGGGGAGGGAGAAGCGGGGCACCCGAAAAAGTTAAGACCATGGTAGCGGGTTGTTGTACCGTGGCCGTAGTGACCGAGATCTAGGCGGGTGCGCCCGTAGACTGAGGGGGGGCCTGACTCATGGCGGCCGTCGTGCTAGGGGCGTGGACAGTCACCAAGATGGTCGGGTCAGGGGCAACGGAGGAGGAAGCTCCGCTGTGGCCACCCTGTCGGAGGACGGGGGACCCGGACTGGGAGCCAGGAGATGACGGACACGCAGCGTCCTGGAGTTGCTGCATGCCGGCTGCAAGGGTCGCCACCTGCGCCTGTAAGGGCGCGAGGGTCGCGAGTTGCGCCTGGATGGGCGCAAGGGTCGCGAGTTGCGCCTGGATGGGCGCAAGGAGGGAGGTGAGGAGGGTGTGTAGATCCCCCTGGGGTTGATGGCCCTGGTCCGCCGGCACGGGTGTGGAGCCCGATGCTGTGGTCATCGCCGTGTCGGCGGCGTGTGACGCACCGTCGGCCATGGGGAGATGACAGACCGGACAGGAGCGGGCCAGAAGAGGTCCACATGAGCGGATGGCGTAGGGGGAAGTCCGCGGTAGAAAGCGGCGAACGGCGCTAGCAAGGCTAGCACGGGCGCCGTCAAAGAGGGAGGGGTGGTTCGGGTCCAGGGTGCCCGAAGAGGACGGGGAAGTAGGGGGGGGTTGAGGAACCCTAAACCTTACAAAAATCCTAAGAAAACCCTAATCGAGGTTTAAGTGGCTAGGGTAGGATACCGGTGACCTAATCAAGAAAGTAAAATAGCAAGCATAGGGGGGGGGAGACGGGAGAAAAATAAATAAACAGCGAGATTTTGAGAGAAAATAAAAATAAATAAGAAAATAAATAAATAATAAAAATAATTAAAGAAATAAGTAAAGAGATGTGAAGGGAAACAATATTTATTTTTTTGAAATTTTTCGGCAGCAGTTCCCTACCCCGCACGGGGTCAGGAATGTGCCAAGGGAAAAGGAGAGACCGAGGTGAGCACACTAGAGATGCCGCAAATAATAAAAAAGAAATTTCAGAAAATAAATAAAAAAATAATAAATA